TTTTTTTAGGTGAGAGAAGATATTTCACCAATGCTGCGAGAGAATATGATTGCAATATTCTTAAATGCCCTATTTGAGACAAGACATTTTCGAAAGCTTTTTTGCAGTAGATGAACTAGAATTTTCTTTAAATCGATTTAGGCGATAACATAAATGTAGAAGGTGAGAGTCATCCTGAGCATATGCGAAAAGAAAAAAACATGAATAATCAAGAGACAAAGCCTATGCAAGTAATGATTAGAGCTGATTTAGGAGCAATATGCTCATGCTACGCTGTGTGAAAGGAAGACTTTACTAAACCGTCAAAGGTGCCGCTTGTTTAGCGAATCTGACAAAAGCTGCATGCTGATGCGAAAGCAACCGACAAGTATCACTATTGACATATCAAAATATTGCAGCAAACCTTTAATAGGTACACTCCCACTGCAACCTAAAATATGTAACAGACAAATCAGACAGAAAGAATGCAGCAACCTCTTTCATTCAAAAAGATAATCAACTTACTTGAGCTAAAGCTTTCGCTGTTACACAGATAGCAAGCTATAGCTTATAAACTGATTATCCTTTTGGACACAAATATGACATATACCTGAGAAGTCAAATGAAAATATAACGCTGGAAATTTCAAAATTTTTCACCTGTATGTGCTGTTCGCGCCGTTAGCTCTTGCCCAATATAGCATCCTTTATCAAATGATATCATGTTAAGCAAATCGCCGTTTGCCTAAATATTATGAATTTTCAATGGATATCAACGAAATGAAACAAAATAAGTCACACTCGCTTGGAAAGGAAGAAGAGATGCCAGTTCTGCGCAGCCTTCAGTAATTCCGTATTTCATTCGTCTTTCATTGTATTCAGCTAGAAGTTCCTGTCCCGTATCAGTGCTATATATGCGCCTGCCAAGCGAAGGAAATCTCGGATCCAGAATCGAACCCGGCATTTCTTCAGTAGAAAAGAGCACATTCTCTTCCGAGTCTGCAATCTCCACCTAAAAGGCAGTCAAACACTAATAATTAGTAGATATTTGCAAAATTTCAACTTACAGCTTTACGCATACGATACTTCTCTAATAACTTCTTCAAATTATCTCTGTTCGAAGCAGTGCATTCAACAAGGACGTCCTCATTGTCTCGTGAAATTATGACGTCATCTACAATTCTTCCCTTGTTATTCAGGAACAGAGCAGCAATACCCGTCGACGGCAACACATTTCTAGGGAAAAAACTCTACCCTATATAGTTAACTGAAAGCATATTGCGTTATAATTAACAATACCTACTTGACGTCATTTGTGATAAGACCTTGCAGTAGCTTAAGAGAATCTGATCCTCTGAGTACCAAAACTGCGCGGTGTGTGAGTCCTATAATCTTGGACATCTGCAAATTTGCATTAAAATAACTAGTTTTTAAATTAGAAAATGCAGATAGAAGTAGGTCACGAATCTTTTAGAACTTTGAACATGATAGAGAAGGAGATTTATTGCATATATGTACAACAATACCCCATGCAAATACTACAAAAGAAACGCCGCTAAGTTCATTGAACGAGGCATTTAGGCAGCGCCATGGAATGTCATGCCGAAATGAGATGCTTTGTGGAATGAAAGCTGGATTAAAAGCGAATCAAAACTGGAATGAGAGTTAGACGAAATTGAGCTTAAGGTAGTCAAAGACACAACAATGGAAGAAAGCCACTATATAGAGGTTCAGGCACAAATTACGAGATAGATGATCATGAATCAATTTCGGCAAGAAGTGCGCCCATACAAGTAAAACTAAACAAAAACAAATAACAAACAGGTAAAAAGGGTTTAACTACTTGTACGTTTCGAAGGCTCAACATGTTCCTTATTGAAAAATGGCATACGGAGCGCTTCACGCGCAGTAAGACGCTGGTCTGTCGAAAACGTAAGGCAACCGCTGATAACAGGAATAGCATCCGGAGGTAAACGTGGATTTAGCCTAAACAGTGTAAAGAATAAGTAGTAAAGTCGAGTTTGTCAAGATATCGATGGGAAAATACGATCAGACATTCACCTTTCCAACGGCTGGGGAGGATAGGACGGGTAGTTCGAGCGTTCGACTATTGCATCATGAGGCCAAAGCGACGCTCTAGGTGTACCCATCTTCCTTAAAAGTTTTTATTTCAGCCGAATGTACTACGTCGGTAAGCACAGAATACTGAATATTTATTGAGTACTCCGAATTAAGATGGAAAACGCATTTCGTTTTAACTGAACAACATCAAGCAATTGCCAAAGTCTTGTAAGCAGCTCTACAGCGTATAACTAAGAAAGACGTGTTTCTGGTTGCACTTTCCATATATAAAGTCATGCGATAGCG